ATTACATGAATATGACAGTGGGCAAATGCATAAAGCGCAGCATAACTTGAAATCACAAATTTAATGTTTAAAGCATTAATTTTGCATGGACCAAAAGTCACGCAGAGAACACGCGATCATGCAGGTCACATGCACAATTCACAAGATCTCACAACTGAATTCGACTTAAGTTTGCAAGGTTTGGGAAATTAAATTTTCATTAGCCATTCAAAGATTTGTTTAAATGATGTAAATGCATATTTGCTGAATGCTGACAGCAAACGAGAAAGTATTATAATGTTTGCCTTTCTATTACTAATAATATAAAAGCAATCATTATAATACTTTTTGTATACATTTTAATTCCTTTGTTTAGCCATTCTATCTGATTATTAGACAGACTTCTATCCGTACACAACTGTTAACGACAACAGCGAACAAGAGGGAGAATGTGAGCACTGTGTGCTCAGGCGCTGCCATTCTCAGTGCCATCAAAATAAAAGTCCCACCTCGAACACATCAGCCAAACAGAAACACTTTTCGGCCGATGCCGATATTTGAAAAATGCCAAATATCGGCCGATATATCGGTCGACCACTAGTTGAAACACAAAGTTGTGCACTTGCATCGGCTCAAACCAAACTGACCTTGATAGCTGAGCTTTCCAGCTTTAAACCACAAAATAATACACCTGCGTTTGCTTGAGTGTATGAGCGACAAAAGATCCAGAGTTCTTTGATACCTTGCCAGCTTGGTTTGCAGGTGGGCTTGATGTTGATTTTCACAAGAACGTCCTCAGACGCACGGTTTTTACCGCAGTCATATGAGGTCACAGTGAGTTTATACATGCGTTCCTTGCTGTAGTTCAGCTTCTCGGTGTTCTTGATGTTGCCTGTTTATAAGGAGAATTAACAAGCAATGACCTCACCAGCTAGGTAAGCCAAATCGAAATTATCATGCTTAAATTCAGGCCAGAACTCAAGGTGACAGATTGCTAATATCAACATTAGGTATGCTACTGATTCTAAAATGGCTGCTTGTTTCCACAAATCAATTTTTATAGGCACATGAATAACAATGATCTAGATGTCAATATCACTGGTAGGGATATAACTTGGAGTTTTGGCAGGAGATCTGAATTGGCAGCACTTACCATCCTTGTCAATGGTAAAGGGCACATCTGGGGTGACAATCTCATAGCTGCAGATCTGACTGAACTGGAAAGAGCAGTCAGCGTCCACAGCCTCCACCTTCAGGATGCTGTCATACTTTTTGCCCTCGATCACTGTGGCTTTGTAGGACTTCTCTTTGAACACTGGTGAATACTCATTCATGTCATTCACTTGGATGTGGACGGTAGCCCTAGGGGACATCAAAGCTTGATTAATAAACTTGAATTGGACAAGTAGGAATAAGCATGCCAGTGACGCAAGTCTTAATTGTTAACAGATGGATGATTCATTTATGCATGATCTAATGAGACACAGTCTTTCACAGGACCCTCCAGTGTTGTAATATTTCAAATGTGATATCATGGGTATATGGCTGCTGAATGCCACAAATAAAATAAAAAAGAAATTAAAACACAACATCAAATAAAAAGCATGGGTCAAATGAATCTCTAGATGTTCTCTATATACATGATAGATCTAAACAAATAAATGGTGTCTGGCCTTTATCTTTTTTAATTTAACTACAAGTGGGAATAGAATAGAATAGGTTTACTAAATTATGTAATTTTTCAATGCTGAATTTGATTAATATCAAGTTGTTGTGTACAGCAAATCTTGTATGCATCTAATGTAAAACTTAACTTACAGCTGACTTAACCATAGTGTTTATGGAAATGTATTAATTATTTGTTACACTGAAAATAAATGGTGTAGAAACTTTTCACTCAGAAATTGCTAGTACATTTTACAATTACAAAGAAACAACCAGCAACATGTTGAATTAAGTGTGAAATTTTGAAAAAGGAAAACTGGAATAGCATTTTCTTGTAAATCATGTTTCAATAATTTTTGTTTTATTTGCATATACATCATATCATATACACAACGTTCAAAAGTTTGGGTTCAATAAGAATTTTTTTTAACAAAATTAATCATTTTAATCAGTAAAGATGCATTAAACTTATCAAAAGTGACAGTAAAGACATTTATAATGTTATAAAAGATACAAAGTTACAAATGAGTCTTAAAAAAAAAACGTCATGGTTTCCAGAAAAATATTAAGCAGCACAACTGTTTTCAACATTGATAATAATTAAAAGAAAAATGTTTATTGAGCGCCAAATCACTTATAAGAATTATTTCTGAAGGATCATTTGACACTGAAGACTGGAGTAATGGCTGCTGAAAATTACATTTCAAAATATATTAAAATAGAAAACAGTTATTTTAAAGGAGACATATTATGCCCCTTTTTACAATATGTAACATAAATCTCTGGTGTCCCCAGAATGTGTCTGTGAAGTTTCAGCTCAAAATACTCCACAGATCATTCATTATATAATTTTGAAAATGCCTATTTTGAGTGGAAGCAGAAACACACTGTTTTTCGGGCCTGTCTCTTTAAATGCAAATGAGCTGCTGCTCCCCGCCCCATTTTCCAGAATAGAGCTGTGCCATTACAGATCGTACCTGCTAAAAACTGTTTTTGTTCTGATTATCATGTTTATCGCGCTGAAATCACTCATTTTAAACCATATTAGTTTATTTTAAACCATATTAGTTTAAACTTCTGATATACGGTTTTCTGAGAACACACATCCGAAGCACACGGACAGAAAGCGGCTGTCACAGCATGCGAGTACTAAACTAAGTTCTCATTCACACACAAGTTTACGTTAAAAACACACATGAGTTACAAAAAAACAGTCGGGTTATGTCTGTGAATGTAAACAGCTGGGAAATAAATCGCATGTTTTATTTTAGATCTGTGTGGCAGCAGCAATATACATTAAATAAATCAATAAATCCACTGCTCTCTTGTCTCCTCTGAGGCTGGGACTCTAAATAGTGTTCTGTGCTCGTCTGTGCAGCCAATGACAGAACAGTTAGCATGTTTTGCTCAAACTTTCACCATGGCATTAGAACTAGTACACCGTTGTCACTTGCGAAAACACAATAATGGCACCATGGGTGGAAACGTGCAGATTAAGGGGCGGTAATATTATAATGAGATCTCTTTGCCACATCACCAAGGGAGCGAAATCAGATGCGCTCGTTTTCTCAGATGCTTGCAGAAAAAGGCTTCCCAAAACAAAGTTACTGAACAAAGTTACAAAAATCTTACCAATGCCACACTTTTAATCACATTTTGACACGTTGAAGCAACTAGGATGCTTATGCGAACCATTTTGGCTCCATTCTGGTGCCATTCCCACCATTATTTCCAGTACTCTCTATTTTATCATTAAAATCTGCCAAACCAGATACGCACTTGTGAGATTTCTTCATGTTACCGCCATCGGGTCCCTCTCCACAGTCATAGGCCTGGATGGTGAAGGTATGCTCCTTTTGCAGCTCACAATCCAGTTTATCCTTGGCCCGGATCACACCCTCGCCAGTGGACTTATCCAACACCACCGCCTCGAACGGCACGTTCTGCCCATGAATCCTGAAGCCGCAGATCTCCCCTGCAAATGGCACACGCGTGTTTAGTCAAGCCCACCCGTGAGCCGAAGTGCCAACTGCTGTTCATGAGATAAAAGAAACCCACAACCAAACTAATAACACGCCACACTCAAATAAGAACAGCCAAAGTCGGTTTGGCAGCCAAAGGGATTGAAACACTGAGGGGAGGTGGGAGGTGAAGGTGTCTGTGGAGGAAGCCAGAAGCACTGTGGGATGGGGTGAGTATTTGGGGAAGTGGAAGGGAGAGTTAAAAGGGGGATACTGAGTGTCTGGTCCAAGCCATTTGATCACATTGCATCCAGTCATGCAGTAAGAAACCCAGAATGTGGACAGGCATTTCACAGGAATACTTAATATACAAGGACAGGAAGGAAATGATATGACCCAGTGAACAGATATCTGTTGTATTTAATAGCATAACATATTTAAAGAAGTACTTAAGGTGTTTAATGCAGATTTTTGGTTACAAATAACACATTTAAACAAGAAAGCAAGGTTAAAATGTTAAGTTAATCATGGGGCGATGAGAAGGATTTATAACAGAGATCCAGCATCCTATCAGAATTTCACAAATCAAAGCAAATATACAAACAAACAAACAAGCAAAAAACCCTCATTTGGAGTTTAAATTCCCCCTTAAAACTAGATTTGGGCATGAAGGAAGTCTTCCTGTGCAATGTTGTCTCTCTTAAACCTTTAAAAAACTGAAAGAATTAAACAATAAAACAACAAAGGAGCAGAGGCAGTAAACTGAAAGGCTGGATGAGAGCTGGGGTTAGAAATATCCATTTGCTTGACATCCACATCAACCAGCAGTAGTTGCCATGCCGTGTATTTCAGATTAGTGGAGGAGAGGGTGAAGAGGCTCGAACTAGAGATCAAACCAACACCACAGACCGGACAGCAGAGAGTTTGCATTATTTAACAATCTCAGCATTGTCGTTTTTGAGAAGGAACTGAACTCTGGAGCATCAGAGTCTCACAGATTTAAGATCTGTAGTGCTAAAAGTGAACCCCTAAAAGGTACTTTACAAAGAGGATGTCTCTGAAAACAAACTTTCAGAAGACAATTTTTTCTGTTTTGGAGCTGAAGTACTGTTAGGATCTGCAAACTTCAATGGATGTCTCATGCATAGATATTTCTAGATTCTGTTATCCCCGTATCACACTTATCATCCAGTTGTATCCATTTCCAACAAATTCAAAGGTGAGAGAAAACAGAAAACAAAAACTAAAAGAAGAACTGGGAAGAGATTAAAAAGAGCATGATAGGAGTTTCCGTGTGAAGTGCCGATTTCTTTTGTATTTGCGTTAGTGGGTTAATAAAACGGTTACAAGGCAGTAGAAAGAGCCCATCATCACCTTCTTTGGTGAAGGTCACCTCAAAACTCTCTACAAGAAGGGAGAAAAGATAAACCCAGGTCAGTCAGAGAAAGAACGAGATGCACAGAAACACAGAGACAAGAAAGAGAAGACAGATGTCACAGAAGCAGCCGAGGACTCAAAATACCTCATTTGACTTTTCACACTAGTAGAGATTAGGGTTGGGCAAGATATATTGAATATTTATGATCACTCTACTGCAATATAAAATTAAACAACACTGTGAATATATAAACTATTTTAATGTGCTTTTAACTTGGCCATTAAGATTCTTGAAGAGTGTGTCACAACCTCTTTATGAGAGCATAGGGACATATATGATTTAATAGTGCCTCTGACTTTAAAAAAATGCCATTAAAGTTGGGACTCATTTCCATGAATCAGTTCGACCTGTCCATTTCAGTGAATTGATTCAAAACTCAGATTCATCAGTACATTTGCATCATCACTAAAAAAACGTTCACAATTATATTTTTCCTATATTTTAATGTTTTAAAGAGATGTGTAAGTAAATATTCTCGATACTCTTATTTCTTTTACTATTATTTCTAACCAAACAAATGAAAAATGTTTAATCCAAGAGGTATAAAATACAGTAAGTTAATTAAATAATAAAAAAATAAATAATTAATTTAAACAAAACAAATCCAGGTGTGAAAAACTTGTTGCATCTTTCCCAAAAAGACTCATGGCTGTATTAGATCAAAAGGATGCTTCTACTAAATACTGAGCAAAGGGTCTGAATACTTAGGACCATGTGATATTTCAGTTTTTCTTTTTTAATAAATCTGCAAAAATGTCAACAATTCTGTGTTTTTCTGTCAATATGGGGTGCTGTGTGTACATTAATGAGGAAAAAAAATTAACTTAAATGATCTTAGCAAATGGCTGCAATTTAACAAATTTTGCAAAAAAAGAGTGAAAAATTTAAGGGGGTCTGAATACTTTCCGTACCCACTGTATATATATATATACATACATTCATACTGGTAAAAAATGTATAGCCTGAATGCACTGTAAGTCACTTTGGATAAAAGCGTCTGCTAAATGCATAAATTATTATTATTAAATTATTATATTGAAAATTATGATTCAAATTTGTTTTGCTGTATCGCCCAGCCCTAGTACAGATCGCTTTTAGCCTCTTTGCACTGCAAATGTGAGACAATATCTCACAGACCCTAACATTTATAGCAATCTGCATCATGCTAATTCTGAGGGTATTCTAAGCCCTATTATGACTGTATACAACATGAAACAATATACTTTGATGAGTCCACATTAACAGTCACAGAAACACCAAAAACAGCCTTGACCACTGGAGGAAATTGCCAAAGAGTCCCTGTTAAGGTTAAAACAATGAATGGCACAACCATATGAAAGAATAAGAGTTAGCCAAAAATGTTTTTATAGTAGTATCAGCACTTAAATTAGCTGACTTTATTAAAAAAAAGAAAAAAAGAAGGGGAAAAAAAACTTCTGCTTGGCTGACTGCTAAAGGGTCCAGTTTGACCCTATCAGTGGCCTCTGCTGGTGGACCTGTCCACCCTGTTTTTACCCTCACAATTAGAGATGGATTTGCTGGATTTATCTGCTGTTCAGAGCAAGTCATGCGATGGAATCTTTGTGCCTCATCAGTGCATTCTGGAGCTTTAATGACTGTACATCCCCACACTTCCCCTAAAACCCAGACTGGCGCTTCAGCCTGCATGCCAAGTGCCAACTCCAATAACCCTCCATTTCCCATCAGGCAAAACACAATGAATATTGATTTGTTCCCTCAGACTGCTATATTGCACAGAGGAATCGATGAAGATGTAACAATAGCAGAGAAGTGAGAAAAAAAAAGACTAGCGGAGGGACTTAATTGTTTATTTGATTTGATGCTTCATTACTGCCTAAGCATTTGAGTTTTAGAGTTCTGAAAAAGTTAAAGGACTCGCTCACAATGATTCAGAGGAAATATTGAAATTGACAACCAGCTGGCACTGAATAGTCTGATAGGAACTGATAGGAATGTAAGAGCTCTCTATAGACTACATCATGTCTGCAGTGGAAATCGATGCTTGGAGCTGGTTTATAAAAGGCCAGCAGAACATCGATCATGATGCTGCATGTCTGCCCCTAATGGGACACTGTACCCTTTGAAGCAACTTTTCATATACACTAAATAAATCCATAGAGATTTCAAGTTTTGGGAACAAAAATGCCTTTGCTATGAATTATATGATGTTATATATATATATATATATATATATATATATATATATAATCCATAAAAATAATGGAACAATAAATATATACAAATATAATTAAACAAATAGAAAATGGTTAATAAAACGCATATAGTATTTAAATGATTAAAATGAAATTTTTTCCAAAACAATACAATAAGTACATTTCTGACATTAATGAAAAGCTACTTGGCGTATTATATCCAATATGTGGAAAAAAGATAAGAGAAAAGCACACCACCAACATCCATCATAGCTCGCACCAGGATTTTGTAGGGATCAGTGGAACCCAGTGTTTTAGAAATTCAGTTTTGTGCTACATCTACTGCTAAATGTCTAGGGACACAAGCAAATATAAACTCAAGAAGTATAAAGCAGTACATGGAGAAACAAACAGCCCCATTAACCTATAGCATTAGAGGCTGCAAGAATACCTACAGACCTAATTACCAACAAGAGCTGACTTCACCGGTCATATCAGTACATTATAACAAGTTCAACAGCAAGCTGGTGATATTAGGTCTTTTATTCAAAATGAAATTATGGTTTGTTTTTGAATGGAGTATCACTATATGTCTGTTTGTTGACTATACCTATATATTTATTCCGAAAAAATATGTGGCTATTTGTTTGATGAATTTTGTGATTGGTGGATGACATATTATCCAATATTTTCATTGGTTGTTTGCAAGTTTGAATTTTGTCCTTGTTTGCATTTAAAGGAACCCATGTACACCTGCAATCTTTTAGCCCTGACGAAGGCCGAAACGCGTTGGCAAAATAAAATTCCCTTTTAATTACATTCTTTGTTTTCTCTTACCCCTTAACGTCACAAGTGTCTCTGGTACTGTATCAATATTTTTTTTTTCCCGACGCACCTTGTTGATTGTGTGAAGCTACACAAGAACAATCATACAACCTATTTGGTCATATGAAAATACTCATTGACTGAAAAAAAATATCTTATGTCAGCTCATCACTCAAGCTAAACATAAAAACTAAATCTATGACTCTTGTGCATGACAATTCTTCAACATCCGCTGTGCTAACAGCTCCCATCCCTTTTACTGTTCAGAAAATTGCAGTCTGAAAATATCTGCACCGTGTGCAGCAGCAGCAGCTGGAGCGTATGCGGATGATTTATTGGCTTCAGCGTGGTTCCTGTGCACCGGTGTCTTACGACTCACCCCGCAGGCAGAAGCCTGATCAGTGACACTAATTGAAGGATATAACCTCCACAGCAATAACAGCATAATGTTCACCTCCATTTATATTACACGCCAGATCCAATTTCACACCTTCTGAAAAACAGTATGCTTGACAGAACTGTCGCTTCATTTTCATGTTTCTCTACCCTGTTAATTTTCAGCTGCAATACATTTGTGATTTAAAACGGTGCATGGTTCAGGAACCGACAATTGTACATGTCTATCAATGCTACAAACACATGAAGCATGATTCTGATGCTGTATCCATACAAAGACAGCTGGGAAGACCAAGACTTGGTATTGTCTGTGAAATTTGTGATCTGGCTTAAATAGTCTTAGTAAAATGGGTTCATGTGACCTAAGGGTGCTGCTGCTGCTGGTTGTCTGTGGACAGATTGTCAGACCAGACTACCCTGATAATCTGCTTTAAAATCCCAGGTTTATAAAACCTTAAGAGCCGAGGTAAGTCACATGCTGAAAGGGCAAGTTGGGACATAATGCTACTAATAAAGAGAACAAGAACAGAAAATAACATAGCCTAGATTGTATACCTCATTTAAATGTGATTTCTTAAAGATGAACACTTGAGGGGAAAAGCAAGCTATTTTGAACCAAGGATAAGTATCAATTTAACTAATTAGAAATGGAAGAAATTGAGTGTGGTTGTTGCTCACGCAAAACTAAGTGCCAAGATGCTAGAGAGTTCTAGAATGTTACTAGGGTGCTGCCATGGAGATAACGATGGTTACTAGGATACTAGGATGTTGAAGTCTCAACAGCTAATTTTCCATACACCACCATCCAAAATGATGTTCTTTTGAACATTATATTTATCAAAGAATACTGAAGAAAATGTATCACGGTTTCCCCAAAAAATTATAAGCTGTTTTCAACCTTGATAATAATAAGAAATATTTCTTGAGCACCAAATCAGCATATTAAAATGATTTCTGAAGGATCATGCGACACTGAAGGCTGGAGTAATGAAGCTGAAAATGCAGGAATAAGTGAATAAATATATTACATTTCAAAATATATTACAATGGAAAACCGTAGGGATGCACCGAATGTTCCGCAACCGAAATTACAAACCAATAAACGAAAAGACAGAATAACAAATTGTACCAAACAGTGACGTGACGCGATCAAATAGAGGCGCGCACTAATGCAGCAAACATGTCGGCAGTGTGGAAACATTTGAAGCCGTCAGAGAAAGACACAAAAAATCATTACAAGCACCCGACAGTGAGAGACCGTTTAATACTGCATCTCATGTCTCCGATGAGGGTGGTTGTTGCTGTTAACAAATTGTACCAAACAGTGACGTGACGCGATCAAATAGAGGCTCGCACTAATGCAGCAAACATGTCGGCAGTGTGGAAACATTTGAAGCCGTCAGAGAAAGACACAAAAAATCATTACAAGCACCCGACAGTGAGAGACCGTTTAATACTGCATCTCATGTCTCCGATGAGGGTGGTTGTTGCTGTATGATGACTGAAATCGCGAAATGCCCTTAAACAATTAAATAAACTGCAGAAAGTTGTGTTTTCTAATGCACGCACGAATTTCATGCATTCAAACGGCGCTGC